TTCTGCTGATGTATCAGTGAGAAGTGTGCTAGTTACCTCATTTCTAAGGAATGTTATATTATGACTGGCACAGCTCTTTAGCATCCACTCTACTCCGTAGTAATTTCTTGGCAAAGCAGAGTTCTTGATGCATGTAATTAGCATTTCCTCCCATTATAAATAATTGTTCCTCATTTTCCACTAATTCTTTTCTAGGCTGTTGATACACTTACAGTAACAATAGACAAAATTGAGCAAATTGGGGTCTGGAGCATCTCTTATGAGGAGAGACTGCAGGAGTTGGACCTGTTTAATCTGGAGACTCCAATTTGCTGAGGGAATCTCATTGATGCAAATAAATATCTCAAAGGTGGGTATTGAGACTATGATGTCAGACACTTTTCAGAGCTGCCCAGTGACAGGACAAGGAGTAATGGCCATAAACTAAATAACAAGAAGTTCCATGTCAACATGAGGAAGAACTTCACATTTAGGGTGGCAGAACACTGGAACAGCATATCCAGGGAGGTTGTGGAATCTCCCTCTCTGGAGACATTCAAACACCATAAACCCAGCTGGATGTGTTCCTATGTAACCTACTCTAGGTGACCCTGCCGAGGCAGGGTTTGGACTAGATGATCTCCAGAGGCCCCTCCCAACCCTAACAATTGTGTGATTCTGTGAAACGGCTTCATAAGCCTTCCATGTGCAAATTTTGCTAAATTTTGTTGTTGTTGCCATACAATCCTGTGCCATTGGCTCCAAAGTATATTAGGAATAGTAATGCTTGTGGTTGATGAAAATTACAGTTTAAGCTTGTTTCAAAATATTTATAATGCTGAGAATATGAATGTCCATATTATACTTGTTCTTTGTTTGAGGCTTTGATCTTTGGCAGAAATTTGATCTAGTACAATTTGACATACTGGATAGGATTCAATTCAAGATGAAGATACCAAAAGTAGTGTCTATGTATAAGCTGAGTGCTTAAGCCCCCAGTACAATGAACAAAGATATGGTCAATACAGTCAATGATGTTGGAAGAGTTGTTGAAGCAACCTTCCAGGATGGATGCTGGATGCAATTTAAGACTTCATCATCTTGTCACCTGCTGTACTTCAAAAAGGCACAATTATTTTTAAGTCCCAAGGCTTCTTAAGCCCTTCATATCTGTGAAACAGGCATCTCAAGTGTCTGGGTATCTCAAATGAAACAAGAAGTCTATGTCAAGGCAACGGAAAATCTACCTTGGTAAGCTGAAATTGTCTCCAGGTTACACTTTCCCACATCTGCCATTATTTTTTCAGGAGCTTAGATAGCTCTTTGGCAATTACATTTAGTCATTATAATCTTAAACTAAAAACTACCACTATATGTCTGACTGGCTTGTGATTTCAAACTCCATATACGACACTGCTATAGTCGATGACAAAGCTGTCACCATAGTGACAAATGGAGGTAGATATTGCCAAAGCGTTCTTGAATGAATAATCTGCTTCCTATTCTGACTTCTCTCTGTGCTACAACTGCCTTTTTTTGGTCCTTGAAACAAAAGATACAACAGGAAACTTGTCTTCTTTCCCAGGATGATCCAGAGGTAGGAGTAGATCTGTAGTCTAGAACCTGCTAGAGCTCAGGTTAAGGTACTGCTCTCTACATGATTTTTGAGTAACTATAGGTATGCTACTTAGTTTCTCAGTGCTTCATTGTCTCTGTATGATGGTTATCAGTATGATGCAATATCAAAAAAAAACAAGGGAGAAATATGAATGTGTGAGGTTTTTTGAACTTTACTATGCCTGGAGATACAGAACAGGAAAAAAAATGCATTTTAGATTTCAATTTTATTAATTAATTGTCTGCGACTGCAGTTATAATATCAAAAGTATCTTGAATCCTAGACAGGTAGTTTCAAGGTAGACACAAGTAAAATAAATTATACTAAATATTTCAAGCTTAACTGTCTGATATTAGCAATCAGCATAATGTTAATTTGGTGTAAATACACTGTTCTTAAATTACAGCTCAATTTTTATACATTCATAATTTATTTACTAAAATAAATGTCACTCAACATAATAAAGTTCATCCTACTTTGTTAAGCAATGGGTAATCACCCATTAATCAGAAGATCAGAATTTATAGTCTTAATGTAAGGAATATACTGCAGAAGAACCATGAGTATTGTGAGTCATCACTTTTATTGTGCAATAAAGGTAAAGATAGTGCATTTCATAAACTTACAACTTGTTTTTTTGACCCATGTCTCTGTACAGCTTACCCCCCAGGTAAAATTTAGATCTTATGATAGATATATTGCATTACCATTTCTCCTTTTTTTCCTATGCGTGAACACTGTTTCTGTGAAAATGTTGATATTTTCCAGTGAAACCTTGACATCTAATCCTTATCCTAGAATTGAGTCTTTCAGAAGATAAACTGAGTTATTTTTCTTTCTCAGTTTCAACATTCTTTCTCATTCTTGATCATATAACTTTTTTAATATCAGTAACATTTGCCGACATTAAGTACAAGAATTATTGTCTCTCTTTTTTTTTTTTTTTTTTTATTTTTTTTTTTTCCCCAGGCTGCTCACTAAATGTGTTGTGGCTGTCTAGGCTGCACATTCTGTTCTTAATTAGGTTTACAGATATTTTGACTCATTATACAGTCTCACTAATGTCTCTGTTTGGCCCGTAATGTTCTTTCGTCACTGATCTGGTTATTCTTTTTGTCTTTCATGAGTGGGCTGAAGGGTCGGGAAACTGTTCTTTTTTGTGTATGTTGCAGACGGTTCCATCCATCTCTTATTTTTCTCCTTGCAAACATCTCTGATTTTTTTTTTCCTTCATTCTTCTTCATTTTAGACATTCCTCTTCTTGGTACGGACTATCATGAGGACTTTAGTGTGGCTTCATTGGTTGTGCTTGCTAAATTTCACTGCATGTCTGGTGATTGCCTCTTTCAGAAGAAAACTGAATGCACATGGGTGTCTGATTGTCTATGCTCTTGACAAGCTTGAGAGTTGCTACTGCTCTTTCACTATTTGTAACTGCTTCTTCTTTGACAACTTACCAGTACAACAGGCTTGGGTCAAGACAGTCTCATGCTCTAAATGCCTTTCATGTTCACAATATACTTTTTGCAAGAATGCTTGTTAATAATACCATTTTTTCTACATTTAGAAGAGTAGTTACACTGACTGTTGACATGGAAACAAATAATCAGGTGGTAAGGGAAGTAAAAGAATTGTCTCATAAGCTGGTCTGTTCATATGGAAGTACTGCTCAATTTTACAGCTGTGAATGCTATGGCTATTTGACATCTGCTTGTATATCCTATCTGTTCTGTATAGTGCCCTGTATCATAACAGCCTCCAGGTACTGCCACAGGGTGAGTATGAGGAAATAATTACCGCAATCTAAAATGTGACTAACTAGTAAAATCTACCCTCTGAACTTCCTGACATGTTAAACTGTTGTCTTCCCTTTTATAACTTATTGCAGCTCAGATGAAATTAAAGGACCTGCAGCAATTCAAAGGAGATGAGAATTTTTATTGTATTCAAACAATGGGAAGACAGTTCTTGACATTAACATAAAAAATATGCACTTCATTTCAGAAGAAAGAACACTGGATGAATTGAATCATACAACATCTAGTCCTGCAAAGACAAATATGTGTTCAAGTTTCTTGTATAATCATGTAAAGAAATACCTGCAGCTCTAAGTAGCAGTTTTGGACAGGCTGGGTATACATAGTAATCTAACTAATGATGATACTATATACTTACTTAACACCTTTCATCACAAAGTACATTATCAAAGACTAGTTATTTGAGCCTTACAACATGTCTGTAGAAGACTATTATACAGCTGTAGAGATTGCACACAGAGATTAAATGGTTTGGGTTAGGCCACACAGCAAGTAAGTAGCAGAGCCAAAAGGAGAGCGTGAGTGTTGGCTACCAGCCCTGTGCTCCAACTATTGGACTGCACTTCCTTACTACTTAATTCCCATATTGCTTCTCTAGTACAGCTACTGAAACTTTTGAGCACTCTGTAAGTTTTGGTGTAATATCAAATCCGTTGTGTTTCTCCCTCCTGTCTCCTTTATGATGCCAAAAAATATTGTAATTACACTTTGAAGGGTCTCATTTTACGGGTTGCTCCAAGTCGTCCGGCCCTGGTGGGGGATCAGCCTGACACTGTATAGCTCCCATCCGCTGTCCCCACTTCACAATTGCTGGCTGTTGCTGCTTCTCTCTGCTCGCTTTCGTCATGGTCTCAGTGTTATGCCCTTAGCTCTGCTGTGTGAGTGGCTGGACCCTTCTGTGCTTAAATAATTCCAGCTATAGGCTAGTTAATGGGAAACACATGTCTCCCTGGCGTGAGCTTTCGGTCCTGCTGCTCCCGTAGCTTCCCCCGAGCAGACGTTCAGGTAACTGCAATGGGACAGCCACGACCTGGCCGGAGCTCTGCCTGTGCCTCGGAGGGTGAGCGGGCGAGGGAGGAGGAGTAGGGGCGAGCGGCGGGGGGAGCGGCGGCTCGGGGGCTGCCTTGCCCGGCGATGAACGGAGCGGGGCCGCTCGCCCGCTCTGCCCCTCGCCCGCCCTCCGCGGCCCGGGGGATGCGGGGACATCCCCGCCGCGCTGCCCGCGGGCCAGGACGGGTCGGGCCGGCCCGGGGGGACGGCATTGCACGGGTTCCGTTTCCTGTGGCTGGGACAAAAAACTCAGGTTTGCAAACTGCGCCGTGCGGGCTCGCGGAGCTGCGTAAAACAGCGTTTACTGAGTCAGGATGATGCTCGGGGAATGAGGAAAGAAACAAACACGGAGGGAGGGGGGGAAAAGAAAAAAGGAAAAAAGGTAGGAAGTAACGAAAAAAGAGCCCTGCACGTTGCCTCTTTGTGCTCCAGTAGCCGGGGGTGTGACTGAGTCCCCAAAGCACCCACCCTCCGGGGTGCCACCCAATGGCTGCCCTGTGCTCACAGAGCCCCTCCCGCCCGCCTTGGCTGAGAGGGACCCTCTGAGAGACTGCCCGTACTGGCTTTCACAGGCTGTAACATATAAAAGCTGTTAGCAGCGCCCCTGGCCAGAAGCTTCACAACTAGCAGAGTTTAGAGTCCTTTGGGGCGTTGTAATAAGAGACACTCCTTCACAAAGGTTCATATCATCACATAGGAGAGTGCTATATAAACTGGGAGAACAATAGACTCAGTTCTTTTTTTTTTCTTGGTATTATCCAGAGGTAAGCCATTCAGCTCCATAAGTTTGCTTTGCATGCAGTTTTTTCAATGCTCATCACATTTTGCTGAATTTAAGATTTGAATGCTATTTCTAAGATGTCCTGCTTTCATGCTTTATATGTTTTCTTTTGCCTACGAGTTTATCTCTGCCACATTGTGTCAAAACAATCCAGCCCTATGGAATAGGCATAGGCTAGGATGTATTTTTTCACTTTCAGTGGAAAACATGATGTGAGGTTTCTTGGAGTCTCCCCATTAAAGATTTATAGTGTGGTTTATAGACTGATCTGGTATGATAGCACTGTCACTATTTCAGGAATACTACTAGATGTGATCATGGAATTAATGGTATAGTGATACTTCATTTAGTGTGTTTAGTAAAAATATTATTATCACTTAATACAGTTATTGAAACAGCTCAGCAACGCGTGTTTTGACTGGATTGTTTTTATGATTGAGCTGAAAGACAGAATAATTTTTCTGATCACAGCTTGCCAGTTCATTTTGTCTTGCTATCCAGATATACAGAATCACATCTTTGACATCTTCTCTTCTACAGATCTGTTTTCTGCTGCCCTGACTTAAAGCAGAGTACCTCTGTGGCCTATCTCTCTCCTTTGGCCCCAAAATGACAGTAATTGCTGCAATCAGTTGTACTCTGTTATTTTCCGTTCTCTGTGAAACAAGTGCATTAGTGTTACCCAACTCCACTGACCTATTCCTGTCAGACAATAATTTCCCTGACATTGAGACGGCTTTGGCAGCTCATCTGGACTCTGCAAAAATTCCCAAAGCCAGGCGGAAGCGCTACATTTCTCAGAATGACATGATTGCCATTCTTGATTATCATAATCAAGTCAGAGGCAAAGTCTTCCCACCTGCTTCCAACATGGAATATATGGTAAGTGAAATTTGTTTATTTCAGAGTAAAACAAACTGTAAGTCAGTGATTTAATTTTCTTAAACAGATTTCAAGGGTTCAGTTAAGTTGATAAATGTTTTTATCTATTATTGCTTACTAAAATAATATGTCCTTACATTCTTTTAGCTGCATTATGAAAGCAAAACCTAATACTGAAGTCTGAACCTCTTACTTGCCCTATTCAATTTTCATTTCCATGTGCTGTCCCAGTAAAGGTTCAAAGACCCAAGTAAATGAAGTGGTGAGTTAACTGCTTGTTGGCTTGAGGAACAGTATGCAATCACAGCCTGTGGTCACAAGTGTTTAAAGTTCTCATCATTAGTAGCCCTGATGTGGTCAAAAAAGTATCCAATGACCATTTCTAATTTCTTTCATACTTCTGGAAGGAATATGGTAAGCCTATATTTGCAGAGTAATTCATCTGATGCACTGTTTGTCTCATGTTCATGTGTTTTACTTACTGCATATTGTTTGTAAACACCTAATACCTTTATTTTTCCATCAAATACAATGTTGCTTTCAAATGTTTCTCTAATATGTAGGATTTCAGTGTGTTCATTTTCCCCTTATGGCCAGGTACTTATTATATGAATTATCTGTTCCTGCAGGTATGATAGAAGTTATTCATTCTCTGTGATTTCATTCTTAGCTCTAATATCTAAAGCAGTGTGTTTGCTATTTTGTGTTCCAACTTTGAATGCATGCATACTGGACCTTTAATGTTAAACATGGGCTGGTCAGCCAAAGTTTTTGCCTTCTAAGTAAGGTATTCACATTGTTTTGAAAGCACAGACACATTGTGTCAGCACCATAATAAATGCTTTAAGTCACAGAGTTTCTCGTATGACAACAGATGTTTAACAGGTTTGAGAAACAGGACACCATCAGCTTGACATAAAAAGGGCATAACAGTAATAGCAATTCCTCCTTTTTAGCACCTAACGAGTAACAATTTGGACATGGTTTCTATCACAGACATTACCTAAATCTGGATTTGATGATATAATCTGTTCAGCACATCCCAGCAGCACCTCAAAATGCTGAGTGCACTGAAAATATTGCAGAATGAAGACCATAGGCTGAGTTTCAAGTCTGTTTAAGTGGAAAGGTCAGAGACAGAAAAAACAAAGAGGTCAGAAGTCAAGATCAGTCATCATTTTCATTGCTGTGCTCTCCACTGACATTTCCTTTGATTCTGCATAAATAAACTTTGTTGTAATGTCTGAGGGAATGGCAGCCTACCATGCCCTTCCTTGGCTTGTGTGTTTTAGAAATGTGCTCCTGCAGTTCGCTTAAGTGAAGCCAGCACACTGTCGATACTCCCAAGGGATTTGTAGCGTACAGTGTTCTTAGCCTGTTCAGTAAAAAACCCTTTAAAATAGAAATCAAGCTTACTTGATTAAACCTATTTAATCATATACGTAAACTGCAAAGATTTTATCTGTATTGGTTGGGTATTCTGTTGCAGCAAAGCTGCAGCACTGATACAAAATCCAGATTGAAGTCATGATCTTTACAGCTTCCATGCTATTCTTTTTCTTGCCTTTCTTACAATTGCTTTTATGACTATGAGCCAGCTGTAGGATGTACCTGTGTTCCTGTCAGCATCAGCACCATCAGTGTTTCAAGTGCAAGGTCTAAGGCTTGCTTTCACATTTAGTTTTCCAATCTGAAAGTACTTTGTGACTTCATGCTGCAAAATTCAAAACAGGACCTCAGGCTACATAGGTGATGATCCAGAGTGCAGCTTGATCTTGGATCCCTAAATGACACACAACCCCTTTGCCACCGATTCTGCTTCAAAATTGAGTAGGTCTATATGTGTCCCATGCAACTACAGAGGAAAAAAAACCCACTGAGCAACATCACACATGGTGTGCTCTAACATCTGTGTTGAGGTCATGGCAGTATCTGTGTAACTTTTCACCTCTGTGGCTACAGAAGGGTTTTGGTAGGAAGGCCTTGAAGATGACACGGTGCTGTAAGCCATACCAAGGCTGGAGACACCAGTATGACTAATGCTCATTCAGGTTTGCTTTGTCTATTCTTTGATCTCTGAATAATTTCAGTATGTGGCACAGCACCTGTTGTATCTCACAGGGATACGAGACTGCTGCTGCTATATGTAAAAGATGTTGTGTCACTCAATACTCCTTTTCATTAATAAGACAGCAAACACAGTCATTACCAGCAGAGAACATTCACTGTGCTTGAAAGCACCTTGCAGAGTGTGTGTTCTTGTCCTGAATACTATGGAAAGTGAAGGGGTAGTGAAGAAAATGGCCTTTCCCATTTTCCCTAACAATGATTAAAATGGATGTCACATGTTAGAGAGCTGGAATTGCTTACAGATGGACTAGGCTGTGGAAATCTTTTGTAAGTGTGTTAAAGTAGAGAAAAACTAAGCAGTTTAGAAGCACAAGAAAAAGATATTTTCTCATATTTTCTCTCTTCAAAGTCATATTAAATCGTGTTTTGTTGTTTTTTCCTAATTCTGTTAGGAACTGTTCTCATGAATTACTGTGTCACATTCTCACTTTTGTACAGTTCCATTTGCTTTTTATTCCACCCTATTTACAACTGAGGATTTAGTTGTATGGGTTGGTTCTTGTGATTCCAGTTCTCCACACCCAACCTTTTCTGGGGGCTTTTTTATTTGGCACAGTCTGTTCCTTCCCCTGATACAGTCTACTTCTCACATCTTCAGTGCATTTATACTCTGCACTCCCTGGGCATTATTCTCTCTACCCTTATTGTCTAGAAAGTTTATGTGCTATCTGGCTCTGGATGAGAGTTTTGAATTCACATGCATTGGGTGGGGGAAGGTCAGATAAACACTGCAGTAACAGCTGGGATAGAGTTTTAATTCTCTTTGGGAGAGGTGTGTCTGAGTGCTGCTCCAGCCTGTTGATGTATGCAGTCCCCAAGGAAAGCGAACAACTGAGGAGTCAAAAGCTGTGGTGGGAGGCATTGTTTTATTATCAGTCCCTAGTGAAAGAAACTGGTGTGTCTTAATGCAAGTTATGCTTTGATAAATCTTTCTGTTGGGACATTGGCACCCTATGTGTTAGACTTCAGAGTAGTTTCTTCTGTTGGTTCTGGTGATTACTGATACCTTCAACTGGAAGGTTTTCTATGGGTACAAATCTAGTCATTGTATATGTGAAGGAAAGCGAAAGAGAACAAGAACTTCTAGGCCTATAATATAGAATTAATGAGTCCTTATTTTAATTTGGATCTTTCTTCATCATCCTAAGACTCTTTTTCTCCAGCCTGCTTGTGCTCTAAAAGCTGAGGGTGTACCTGTGGAAAGAAAGATGACACCATACTTATGACCAGGGTGGAAGCCGTCTACTTGGCTTTGCATATTTTTTCTGGAGTAAGCAGAATAATTCCATAAAATTCATGATTCAGAAAAAGTGAGGTGTAGAATTGCCAGCAGCTGTCTAGTGTGAAAAGTAAGTAAATCTGTAGATACAGTGGAAGCTTGCGAACAAGCAAATCCCTTTCTCTGAATACTAATTCTGTACTGTAGTGGTCTGTTTTGCCTTTTTGGAATATTTCAGCTACTTTGTAGGCCAGTAAATATTTGCAATATACTGCCAGCTGAAATTTGAGTCTCATAAAACATGTCTTTTAGTGTGCGTTGATACTATCTTTAGGCTCCCAAAACATCCATTAATGAAATATCTGATTCTCATAGGACCAGATGTTATTTTCACCTTCCTTACAGTCATTCCCACTTGAGGTCACTTTCTTCATAGTCCTTATGGTCTTTGTTGTAACCCATGTCACTGTGTGCATGCAAAAGCTGGCTGAGGAGGTGCTTGCATACAGGCATGCTCTTTTCAATGTTGCATGCAGAAGCGGTAACTGTGGTAGAACGGGGCCTTAATGAGGACTGAACACTGTCCTCCGTGGAATTCCCACAGGCAAAGTGGGTTTTACTTAAGAGTACTTTAAGGTGATCTGAATAACTTGTTGAAGAGCCACAGTGAAAGACAAGCTGTGAGTAGTTCACTGCTGGTTCTGCAAGGATGAGTCCTGAGCCCAGTATGGATCAACACAGTCATTAATAGACTGGGAGTAGCATGTCAGAAGTATAATAGAGGGGGCAGGATTGCATACTCAAAAGTGTGTTTGTGGAATTCTACCTGAAGATTTTAGGAGCAAAAAGTGCTCTAGATAAACCAGAGCCTGCTAATGAACAGAAGATGTTCAGATATTCAGATGTTCAGTTTCAATTCTTTTTCTTTCAATGATGTGTAACTGCATTTTTGCATTTGGGAAAATTTGCCCCTTGTTGAACATGTCACTTTGTAGGACTCAAAATAGTAAAAGGATTTGCAGATTAGCCAAAAATGAGGTTAGCCTGGTTGATTAGAGCATGGTGCTAATAATGCTAAGGTCACATGTTTGATCCCCATACAGGACATTTCACTTAAGAGTTGGACTGGATGATCCTTGTGGGTCCCTTCCAACTTAAAATACTCTGTGACTCTGTGAGTTTGGCTGCCCAGGAGTTATTTCGTGTTTCTCATCAGCAGGTGGCAGAGGAACTGGAAGAGAATGGAGAACATGAGCCTGTCAATATTTAGTAAATCCACATAAAAGAGCGTGATAACAGGGACAAATGAAATGACCTATTATTCTAAAAGAAAAGTAATTGTGTTCCAAAAGAAGGTCCTGTAGTCCTGTGAAGGATTCCATGTGTGTCATGCACTCTGTATGCTCCAGGAAAGACCCTCTTTACTGAGGTGGTGAATTTGGATACTTTGCTTCCTGTCCCAGAAAATTTGCAGATGAGACGAAGTCAGGTCAGAGAAGAAGAAAATAACCTACTTAGTGGTCACAAATGTAAAAAAGTGCATTATTATTTCACTTTTAAATCTGAAAGTCTTGATAAAAATCTCTTGCTGTCAAGATGATCTTAAACACTTTCCTTGAATATGCAGTAGGTGATGGGTAAGACAAAAGGA